GAAAAAACGCAGAAAGTGAAAGTTGGAGTTGATCCATGAACTTCAGAGCCTGACGACTTCAGAGCCTATCCCACTGCATGTAGAGTGAGTCTCTTTCCAAGTCCATGTGCCATCATCTCTAGTGTTTATAAGATTACACGTTTTGATGAAATGGTGAAGTAATCTGTGTGTGACAGTCCTATGGAAATTAAGCAGCTGGAGTACAGGCGAGTAAAGGTGCGAGGACACTTCGACCACTCTAAAGAGCTGAATGTCCTGCCCCGCTCCCCTGTGGACCCTGAGAGAGAGGCCGGGGAGGCAGGCAAGATTTCCACCAGCGGGGAGAGTGGACCTAATGTCATTAAACCATTCTACTGTACTGATCTGGGGTACAAACACACAATTTGAATTCCATACACTTGCTTTGCACTCTGATGTGGCTTTCTGGATCAAATTTTTAGGATCACTATCTTGGTGAACAGAGGTTATGTACCAAAAGATAAGATCAGACCAGAAACCAGAATAAAGGGGCAGGTAATAGCATTTTTTCTTCATCTCTTTTGAATCAAATCCAGGCATAAACATTATCGACAGACAAGGTTACTTTATTCATTTTCTTAATCTTTCTATATGTTAAAGAGGTGTTTATATTTTCTAAAAGGTGACTGAAAATGTGGATCTTGTTGGTGTGATGCGTTTAACTGAGCAGAGGAAACCATTTGTCCCTCCAAACAATGTGGAAACAAATAGGTGGCACTATCGTGACCTGGAGGCCATGGCGAAGGTCACTGGTGTTGAGGAAATCTTCATTGATGCTGTGCTTGGTTAGAACTGCTCTTAATACTAATGTTTGGTGACTATATGGTGTACAAACGTATACAAAGTTTTGATTAGAAAAGTGCACAAATCTGCTAAAAAAAATGTTTTCCATTCAGACAGCACAATACCTGGTGGGCCAGTAGGAGGGCAGACAAGCCCTGTGTTCATTCTTTGAGGAATGAACACATGCAATATGTCATCACAGTTTAATTAAACACATTTTGCTAATCTATTTTCATACCTTAACACAGAATAGGTTTTTATTATTTAGTGTTTTAATTTAAATCATGCATTGCATGTACTATTGGAACTGTAAAAGAAAAGGTTGCTTTTAAAAAAGGAATTAAAAAAATTAACTGTTTGATTGTAATCTTAAAGGTGACTTAGAGGTGAACTGTTCTTTGTTCTTTTCTTTTAGGTATGGATTATGTGCTGCTACCTCCTACATGTGGTATGCAAAATTCATTAAGCGCATTGCTTTATGAGATGTATTCAGCACTTTGCCCTTATGGAATATATTTAGAATAATCAAGATCTTGTTTAACGTATGATACTGGTAATAAAAACATGGATTTGTCTAAAAACAAGTGTTTGAGCATGTATATTACTTTAATGCATTACTAATGCTGTACAGGGGAATCTAGCCTCTAGAACAGGGGTGGGCAAACTTGGCCCTTCCAGGCCACTTTAGAGTTTAGCTCCAACCCTAATCAAACACACCTGAACCAGCTAATCATTGTCTTCAAGGCTACTAGAAGGCTACAGGCAGGCGAGTTTTATCAGGGTTGGATCAAAGGCCAAGTTTGCCCATCACTGCTCTAGAACAAGGGGTCTCAATCAGGAGGCCACAGAATGAAATGTGTTAATAAAATACTAAAAACAAACTTGAATCTTTTTTTTTTAACCACCCTCAAATATTTTTATTGAAAAATACACAGGAGGCCAGATCAGAATCTCACGTCTTAAAACACAAAATAAATGACTTAAAACAGTTTTGTTAAAGTTTTAAAACAGAAATACCAGAAGAAATATCTAAACCAATATGGAGGGGCTTTTGAATATTGTGTTGGAAAAATGAAAAGGCTTCGAGTCAAAAAAAAAAAAAGTTTTTAGAACCCCTGCCGATGGTTTCATTTATATTACATCAGGGCTGTCCAAACTCGGTCCTGGAGGGCCGGTGTCCTGCAGAGTTTAGCTCCAACTTGCCTCAACACACCTGACTGGAAGTTTCTATGCCTAGTAAGAGCTTGATTAGCTGGTTCAGGTGTGTTTAATTAGGGTTGGAGCCAACCTCTGCAGGACACCGGCCCTCCAGGACCGAGTTTGGACAGCCCTGCATTACATTAATTAATAGTTAATTTTGGAGAACAACTGACAGTCTCTTAAAAATTGTTTGAACTCTTATACAATTCTCTAAATGTTTAGAAATCTGTTTTCTAATTGCATGTATTGGCCTATACCTAATTTTTTAAAGAACCAGTCAAACTCCAGCCACTTTGTGGGATCATTTTTATTTATTAAACAAGACAGGAGCTCAACCCAGTTTAGTAGCCAGCTCCTTGGCCTTTGCCTTCTCAAGTTTAGCAATGCGAGCAGTCGACTTGGAACCCAGGACATTGCCTCCCCAGTGACGACGGATCTAAAGACAGAATTGAAATGGAAGAAACAAACATTAGAATTACATTAAGACATCAATTAGGAGAATGTATAAAAGTTAGGCTAATTGAAACTGTCATCAAATTGTGAACTGATCAGCACTACAGCCAATAAACCGACCTCCTCATATCTGTCATTGTAGTTAGTCTTGATGGCCTCCACCAGCTTAGCAAGAGCTGCTTTGTCTTCGCTGAAGATGGGTGAACAAAAACAATGTTAACCACAAAAGGTCTCGTCTCTATAATGGCCAAATAACGAATCAACTGCAAATCATTTTGCTCAGTGTTAAAAAGCTCATTTGAAACCACATGGTTGTTCAGTTGAAGAAATTCAGACATCATAGCCTCAGGATGTGCAGCAAAGAAAAATAAAACCAGAGTGTGCGTTTTACTCACGGGTTGGTCTGTGTGAAGGCAACAGAGGTGCAGGTCTTTCTGTGCACAAGTTTTCCCAGTCTGGCTTTGCCCTTTACGATGCAGTATGGGACACCCATCTTACGGCACAAAGCAGGCAAGAACACCACCAACTACAAATAGAGCAAATTAAATCAATTATATACAGACATCCATCGCAACATTCAGCAGTCTGATAAAACTACACAAACCAAAGCAGGAAATTCTGAAAATAGTTGAGAAATGCTCCAGTAAGTGGTTGTTGCTCAGGGTTAAAAAGCTCGTATTTTTGATCTTCAGTTTGAATTCAGGTGAAGAAATTCAAGACATCATTGCAGACAACCACAACAAGATTTATGACGAGGTCTATATCCTGTAGAAAAACTCACCTCAATGGGATCCACATCGTGAGAAATAACGACCAGCTGTGCCTTCTTGCTCTCCACTAGTGTGGTTACGGTGTTCACACCTGAGAAGGAACAAGTGTTAACACATGTCTAGACAAGTTTCCAAATCAAACGAAAAATAGGAGGGTCATCAAATATTGTCTTGGACAAAGGATGGGCCTGAGAGTTAAAAAGGTTGTGAACAATGGAAAATACAACTTGTAAATCCGAAAAAGTGTCTTCAAGGAAAAAAGACACTAAAAAACAAAAACAAAAACAAAAAAACACCCACCTGCGCGGAGGACTGGGGGCCTCTTGGTGGGCACGTCACCCTTTCCAGCAGCCTTCTGTTCAGCACGAGCCAGCAGTCTCTGTTTCTTCTCCTGCTTGGTCTCGGGCCTGTACTTGTGGGCCAGCTTGAACAGCTGGGTAGCTTCAGAAATATTTCAAAGTGTTAAAAATGTAACACCCCAAATTAGCTCTTCAATTCCAGCACCAATGCCAAGACCTCAAAGTTATCATTCTGATGAAAAACTAAGTCAACACTAATTTTACAGTACAACCCAAGCTGAATTAAATAGCAATAATATACAACAGTGCATCAGTGATCTTGGTGGAAATTGTCCGCATCGACTATTCAGATAGCAAATATTCTGTCACATCATCTGCACATTCACAAGTTTAAAAAGTATTTAGAGGTCGACCGATATATTTTCAACAATTAATCAGCACTGATATTATATATATGTGTGTGTGTATATATATATATATAAAAAACAAATCCCAAATTAGCTCTTCAATTCCAGCACCAATGCCAAGACCTCAAAGTTATCATTCTGATGAAAAACTAAGTCAACACTAATTTTACAGTACAACCCAAGCTGAATTAAATAGCAATAATATACAACAGTGCATCAGTGATCTTGGTGGAAATTGTCCGCATCGACTATTCAGATAGCAAATATTCTGTCACATCATCTGCACATTCACAAGTCTAAAAAGTATTTAGAGGTCGACGATATATTTTCAACAATTAATCAGCACTGATATTATATATATATATATGTGTGTGTGTGTGTGTGTGTGTGTATATATATATATAAAAAAATAAAAAATTTCCCTCTGTGTGAGATACAATATAGTCATGTTCAAGTCATTATTGTTAATTTTCTAATTAAGTGCAGCAGCACTATTTTACATGAAGCAAGTTTTTGTTCACATTATTGATTTAAAACTCACTACCGATAAAATCCATTATCGGGCAACCTCTACAAGCATTGTTGTATGAACGGCACCAGAAAGTCAAAAGAGACTCCAGTCAAGTGAATAACTCACCAGTCTGGCGGTCCAGAGCCTGGGTGAACTGGTTGATCGCAGGGGGAACCTTCAGACGCTTGTACAGAATGGCCCGCTGGCGCTGTAACCGGACATAACGTGGCCATTTCACGAATCGGGTCAGATCCCTCTTCGGCTGGATGTCCTGACCTGGAGATTAAAGTGCATGACTTTAAAGCGCATTAGGGTCAACAAACTGCAAGTTGGGTTTCCAGACATAATATGTGCATCAGCGATCTTGGTGGAAGGTTGTCTGCAATGCTGTTAAGATAGCAAATATTGGTAACATCATCTGCACTTTTTTGACAGGTACATTTTAAACGACCCGAGAACTCTCTCATCTGTGGTCCGGTTGTTACTCACCAATGCCAAAGTTCTTGGGCCTCTTCTCAAACAGGGGATTCACAACTTTCTTGGCCTCATGCTTCTTGGCCACTGAAGGGGCTGGTGCCACCTTCTTCCCCTTAGCCTTTTTCCCCTTAGGCTGTGGAGAGATGCACAATACTTCACGAGTTCATCATTCAAAATTAGCAGAAAGTTCAAGAGAAACACCTTTTTTTGGCTAATGCTCAGTTTTGAAAAGATGTGTTCTACAAAAAAGTTCAGGTGAAGAAATTCAAGACATCACTGCAAAAGCCAAAAAACCTACTAGTCAAGATACACTAACTTATGGTGCGACATGCGTTGTAGCAACCAGTTTAGCATCTCAGAGATACAAGCTTACTCAACGCATTTTCAGTACTTAGAATTTTTAAGATGACCTACGGGTGTGCATTAGTGAAGAATACAGCAGCACTTGTGTGTTTAATAAACAGCGGGCCAATCTAATTCATTTTGGCCTACAAACAAGCCCGCTAACAGGTTAGCATTCGCGTTGGAACCCATGGTTAAGTTTCTCATAATAATTAACATTAAAAATATTTAGTCAAGGGAGTTCGCATCAAGTACACGGGTAATGACATTTAACGGCTTACGGTCTAACGGCGCACATCTCGAGGCGTCAGCGCTGATAGTAAGCGGACACTACACGGCTCTCAATTCTTCCTCTAAATACTTAAAATGATTGCAATTTTCATTCAGAGAGCAAGCGTTGGTGCTTTATTTTCCATAACCGATATGTTATGAGTCCTAGAACACATTACAAAGCAGGATGCTTAAGGATTTTCAAAAAGTGAAGGCTTCCCAGTCAAAACCATCAAACACTCACCATGTTGGTTCAGACAGAAAGGAAGAAGAAATGGATTGTGGGAAATTTAACTACCGCGACATTTGGTAATGACATCATCTGTACGCGACAGAACAACAAAAGAGGGAGGCTCATGTTTATTTGAAGAGATATTCAATGAATGCTGGCTGTGAGTAGCGATTTTAATGAACTTACTTTTAGTCGTTTTTACTTAATTCATTATTCATGCGTGGTGTGGAGTAACAGAAACCCGCACGCGCTGTTTAGTGTAGTTTTAGCGCCTGAGAGAATAGCAAAATGTCGAATGTTGACGGCAAACGCACTGTGTTTTTATACGTTTCGTGAAATAGACATTTTCACAGGCGGTTACTAAAAAAAACTGCGTCGCCATCACGAGCTACATTTATACTGACCTAATAAATATGCACAAAAAAACGGGGTTTACAAATGTGTAGTGTGAAATAAAAGCTGACTACCTAGGATTAATTACTGCTAAATCCTTTGCACTATAAAGTATCAACCAGTATTATTAGAAACCTTTTACAAAAACAAAAAAGGCTGTGGCTGCAGTTAGGGGTCGGAAATGTATCAATGGCTGTTTATAATATGTATTTAGTAGCTGTTAATGTGAAAACTAATTGCAGTTCTAACAGTAAAGTCTTGTTTCTGATCCTTTAGCACTGTCAAGTGTGACTGAAGAGCGCTGTGATGGCCACACAGAGAGTACTCCCACAAAGCAAAGAAACTCTTCTGCAGAACTACAATAAGAGACTTAAAGATGACATCAGGTCAATTCTAGACAATTTCACCGAAATAATCAAAACAGCAAAGGTATGTTGGTGTGCGTTTTGCTATGACTATGTGACATTCATTATCAATATCATTTTACAAGGACGATGATCTGGTCATCTCATCTATCAGGTGGAAGATGAGACTCAGGTTTCCAGGGCGACACAAGCTGAGCAGGATCACTATGAAATGCACGTGCGAGCTGCTAACCTAGTAAGATCTACAGTGATAGTACGATAATGAATAGACATATTAGACTTGGATGACATTTCCATGTTTAATGTGTCTTAGGTACGTGCAGGAGAGTCTCTCATGAAGCTTGTCTCAGACCTGAAGCAGTTCCTCATCCTGAATGACTTCCCGTCTGTCAACGAGGCCATCAGTCTCCGCAACCAGCAGCTGCGCACGCTGCAGGAAGAGTGCGACAAGAAGCTCATCTCCCTGCGTGATGAGATTGCCATCGACCTGTATGAGCTCGAGGAAGAGTATTACTCCTCCAGGTACAAATAGACCAGTGATCCCAAACGTGTGCAGTCACCTCTGCCTTCCCTTGCTTACCAACACCATAAATGTGATGCATATGTGCATCATAAGAACATAACACAGGATGATTTATGGAGCTAAAGGTATTTTTAACTTGCAAAACCAATTATAGGCTCTGACCGGTTTTCATTTAACTAAAATATCATGTGCTAACCATGTTGGTTTGCTATTTGTTTGAATTAAACCATGCCATTTTGGTCCTTCATACACAGTCATATCATACCATTGTGCCTTAATAAGAGTGTTCATCCTTGCAGGTAAGACAATAACTAATGAAAGAGTACATTCTCCTTTGACCCAATTCATCATGTAGTAAGACAATTTAGAAACTGTATGGCCCTGGTTTTATTCAGCTTGTCATAATTATAACAAGCCAGACATATCTTTTTCTGCTATGCTTCTAATATAGCAAACATATAGCAAAATCCATATATCCATTCATATTGTCATATCCATTCATATTGTAGTCACACCAAAGACATTATCAAGCACTTTCAGTATAACTGATTTTGCACAAGAAAACCAATCTGTTATACAAAAGTGCATGTAAATATTTCCCCTCCAGGTGCCTTAAATGATTATGTTTTAGAGGATTTACTTGCAATCAGGATGTGTATTTAGTCTTATTATTTGTGCTGTTTGGGTTTAATTTTTATAGAGCTTAGTATGATATTCAGAGATTTAAAATCAATTCAATCTGTCTTTGAAGCACACCAGAATAAACATTAATAGTTATATGAGAAGAGACATTTTGGAGATAATTCTTGAAATAATTTTCTAAATTTTTTAAGAAAAATGTACATGTGAATCTAAATTTTCATATTGGACTGAGCACATTAATTTTGATGCCTGTACTCAGTGATGAGCTGCAAAATCCAAAGCACTTTAGACTTCTTTAAAAAAAGAATGTAGGGTGCTGTATGTATTGTAAAAATTACTTTAAAGTATCATATTAATTAGCTTAGTGGAAGAAAATCATTCAAGAAACAGAAAATCAAATCAAGAATTTTCAAGAAAATAAATCATTCAAGAAGATTTTCACTATATATTCAATATAAATGATTTTTTTTTTCTCTCTGTTAAACTAATCAAAGTTTGTGTAAACTGGGAAAATATTTAGCTTTCAGTGGCATATGTGTCATGTTCAAAATGTAATATTTATCATTTATGGAGTGTTTGAAATTGCACTACACTGTGTTTCTTTGTGGTGACATTTTAAGTAGAAACAGTGTTGGTCACATTAGTACCTGTTCAAAATGTGTCAGAATATTTGTCAGGTTTTTTTTACAAACCAACTGGTCATTTCAAATTTCATAAATAAACCAGAGATAAAATAGAGCACATTTAGTGTCTGATCTATTATTTGCTCACCTCTGATTTGGAATTTATCTTCTGCCTCTGCTGAGTGCATAATCTAAATTCTCTGCTGCTTACAGCCTTTTGCTTTTCATCTGTTGAGCAGTTTTATTATTAGACTCTACACTTATCTGTTCAGTGTATAGAAAGACAGCAAACAGAAGAGTAATGCCATGTGACCACACGGTTCCAGACATGTCAGTAGCAATGCTTTTCACAACTTCCTTTCCCTGCTTGTGCTTTCTTTCCCAGTGCCTTCTGTTGTGTGAGTTTGTAATGAGTGAATGAATGTTCAACATTATTCATACATACTCCTAATGGATTATTGGGTGTTTTTAGGCAGAAGTGGACAGAAGAAATGTTAGTTTGTGTGTAACGTGTGTGTGTGTGTATAACATTTCTAGCTGTGGACAGTGGGATGGTGTTGAGTTGCCACTTTGTGAGACCTTTCGTCGGCAGGACAGTTGGGGGTCCCCTGAGACGACCTCTGACCCCTCGTGTGCCAACCCAGAGGATTCAGACCGCTTGGGGACCCAGGAGTCCATGCAGCGTCACCTAAACAGCCACGGCAGCAGCACTAGTGAGCAGTCATGAAATACCGGTGGCTTCCTTCATGGACCAGTTAAGATTACACATTTAAGCAATTTGACATTATAAAAAGCCCATCTTAAACCTCCAGCTGCAGACTGCAATGACACTGAATTAATGCTGAGAACATTTCAATGAATAGTATTTCTAATTCCTAGTTGGGTAACTTGCTACATTGGAATAAAGGAGTGTTTGTCTTTGTGTCGGTTTATTGGCTAAATTTAATGTCTCTTTGGGTAAAATTACAACTATGCTATACTTTCATTGTTGTTCTGAAAAAAATACAAGTTGAGTAATCTAACAACTTTAAGCAAGTGGTGTTTTGGATGCTAAAAGAAAAGGAGACTTCTCTGTAAACATGCTGCGTTTGAGTAAATCTAGCTCCTCTATTTAAGTAACAAAATAAGCTGTTTAATTTCATTGTATGTTTCATAGTATATGTACACTGTAATGCTCTTCAAAATGTGATTGCCAAGGAACTGTTCTCTTTTTTTTAATTCATTTACATGTATATATTTTTATTGCTGTGGTACCTTAGGACAATCTTTCCATTTTAGGTATTTAAAAGACATCCAAGCAAAAACTAAGAGGAAAGGAAATATGTTGTAACGCTAATAGAGGTTATAATATTACTTTATTTCATTAGCAAAGTTTGTAGAATAAAAATAACCTTTAATAAAACAATTAAGTTTCATTCATATAAAGTGATAAATCAATTCTGTTGAACAGACTGAAACACACATTATATAATGCATTAACATGGTGCACAGTACATTATTATGAAAACAAAATGTTCTATTTTATAAAGTTTGCAAAGATGACCAATGTTTTGGGGGGAGTTTTATTGTAAAATTATTACAACTGCATGTCAAATATTTACATCTCTCATTTTACAATTGTATGTTTCATAGTATATGTACACTGTAATGCTCTTCAAAATGTGATTGCCAAGGAACTGTTCTCTTTTTTTTAATTCATTTACATGTATATATTTTTATTGCTGTGGTACCTTAGGACAATCTTTCCATTTTAGGTATTTAAAAGACATCCAAGCAAAAACTAAGAGGAAAGGAAATATGTTGTAACGCTAATAGAGGTTATAATATTACTTTATTTCATTAGCAAAGTTTGTAGAATAAAAATAACCTTTAATAAAACAATTAAGTTTCATTCATATAAAGTGATAAATCAATTCTGTTGAACAGACTGAAACACACATTATATAATGCATTAACATGGTGCAGAGTACATTATTATGAAAACAAAATGTTCTATTTTATAAAGTTTGCAAAGATGACCAATGTTTTGGGGGGAGTTTTATTGTAAAATTATTACAACTGCATGTCAAATATTTACATCTCTCATTTTACAGGGGGGAAAAAAAAAAAGTGTCCAACTAGGTGGCTGTGAAGCGAAGGTGGAGGATTAGTATCTTCGGTTCATCTTCTTGAATTTCTCATAGTGGTAGTCATCTGTGGCCTTCTCATTATTTGGCCTCTTGCGGTAATTGGGTGGTGAAGCTGGAGAACGGGAAGAGATAAACATTAATATAAATCCAACAAATGCAGTTCTATGTGTTATTTTTAGCGAAATAATATATGATCTTACTCTCAGGTAATGGGTTCTCGGTGTCTCCTACTCGTAGTGGCCTGGCTTTGGGTTCTTCTCTGTGTCGTCTCTGGGGAGCGTTTACATCCTCATGATAGACTTGAAGAAAAAAGTATATATAGAAAATTACTTAATCTTTGTCCTTTAGGGAAGAAAATAAATAATTATGGAGACAAACTTCTTGATTCATGAGCACTAAGCACGTGACCTTAAATACAAAGTGCTGGTAGTTCAGATATACTTGTGCACTTACAGCGATTATGCGTTTTCTGGACGTAATTCACAGCAATGTTCGTGGGAACAAAGGAGGTCCCGCTGTCCTTCTTTTTATTCCTCTGCTCAGCAAGCAGCTTTGCTTTGGCTTCTTCTGTACTGATGATGTTCTTTATTTTTGCACTGATAAGAAAGGGAAAAAGGGGTTTGAAGCTGACATCCATAGCTTGGTGGAATATAAAGATATATCTCAGATGTGAGCAAAGGAAATGTCTTTGAATTAGTTTTGGTCTTTACTTACTCTATCCCCAGATCCACCTCTGGAATTCCACTCAGCATCTGATTGGACAACATCTCTTCTGTCTTTTTGGCAGAATTGACACGGATGTTTTCTGGAAGCTCATACAGGAGGTCCTCTGGATTCTTCACCTTCACTTTCTGCTCTTCCGCCTCCACCATGCCTTTCTTTTTCTTTAATTCGGTCTCAATGTACTTCATCCTGAATGAAAAAAAACATACAAGGAGAGAGAGAGGATATAAACATTTAAATGCAGGCAAAATTGACCAAAAACAAGCATCATGTAGAACGATGAAGAATACAGATGGTTTGCGCGGACACATATGCACTTACATGTCTGCATCTTCATCTCGTCTGTTAGTCTCAGCAGAAAAGGAGGTACCAAGATTCAGGTCGTTTTCATCTGCTGTCCTATAGTGGAGAGGAAATGTTAATTATTTCACTTTTAAAATACAGAGACATCAACTTTAAATAAACAGCAAACATGGCTCCATATCACTTACATGTCTCGATTTCTGTCTTTCACTTTCTTCATGTCAACAACACCTCCAGTCTTCAGTTTAAATGGGTCGTCCTAATGCACAAAACACGGAGTGACAATATTTAACCACTTAAATCATACATTTACTGTAACAATGCAAGACCTTCACTGTAATACAAAACGTAGTTTGCTCAAAAAAAACAACATACCTCGAGCTCAGCCTCCAAATGAAGCGTATCTCCTACAAGTAACGTAGCAATGCTGGAGGAGCAGAATGTATACATTAATTAAAATTGGTTAATTATATAAATTAATTAAAACTTGGAAATGACACACCGTAAAAATAAGACCTGTACAAAACGTTCTAAATAGACACGTGACCAACCTTACGCCATGTTGCCTTTTTCGTAAACTTTGAAGCTCCTTGGCTTCACCCAGTTTGGACCTTAGAAAATATGTTTGAATTTAACATTTTTAAATATATTCTCACATATAAACAGGCGTCTGGGTGTGACACTTAACGTAACGTTACATAAATACTTTTCTATATACGGACATGTTCGGTTACTCTATTTGGCATTAATGTTAAAACATATCTACCTGACCACGGCTTTTGTCTCATCATCTTCCTCGTCGGATGATTCCTTCCTCCTCCTAAAATTCTTACCTGGGGGCATGATTTCAAAAAGCGTTGAATTATTTAATGTTTATTTTACACCTTCACACGTCGTCTGTACGCAACGTCGGCGGTCTGTGTTTATCGACGGACCGCTTTCCTCACACTTCCCGAAACTTCCGCTGACGTCACAATTACGGTTTCAACAGCTGATCTGAGGTCAGCTCTTCTGTTTTCCATACAAGCGTTTAACGGTGTAAATGGGGATGAAGAGGCTGGTTCAAGATCAGCTACTCATATGACAAATATGAAGAAAAAAAACGTAAGTAAACATAATAACAAAACAATTAAAAACATCAACTCCTAAATCAAGCAGCATGTAAAATTTATAAGTTTAAGTAAATAAAAAATAGTTTTTGATCAGATGAAAGAACTGAAAGCGTTCATTGGCTATGTCAAAGCTGTGACGCTGACGCACACTCATGCTGTATTCAGTATGGATGCTGTTTAGTGCACTGCTACCCACCACTGTTACAAATACCACCGATTGGCCTAAAATGATCATCTATGAGCGTTATTTTTGTTTCTGTCTGACAGGTAAATGTTTGTTCTTATCTTTCCTTCGGCTGAAGCGGAGTGTCACTGTTTATTTGCTTAGATACTATCATGTCGAGTCAGCGCACGAATAGTGTCTTGCAGCCCGAGTGGAAATATGGCCTGTTTGTTCTGTAAGATCGTGATGTTAAACAGCTTTTAGGTGGCTGAAGATGACACAGACGCAGAAAGATGCCGTTTGTTTTGAGATATTATTCTTTAAATTCAGGTGAATAGTGGGGCCGATTCATATTATTATTATTGTTATTGTTATTATTATTGTTGTTGTTGTTGTTGTTGTCCTTTATGTTCGGAATTCTTTTAAAGCTTCTTTACTTATGGAAAAATAGATTCAAGGATTAATACATCTTTATGATGCATTACTGTGCATTTCCTCACTGTAACAATAGACGAGGTGATACGGGGTGAATGCATCCTTCTCAGTCGTGCTAGGCGCATGAAACAGCAGTTTTGGGCTCCTGAGAGTTTCAGGCACAGACTCACAGCTACTCGCTGCTAGATACCACACTTCTTCTTTCGTTATTTTTAAAATAATGCATTCATTAATGTCAGATGTTCTCCATTACGCTGATACTGAGACTGTAAGTACATTAGAAGGTTATACTTGAAGGGACATGTTCAACACAAAAAAGTCATCATTTACTCACCTTGATGGTTTTCCAAACCCGTGTGACTTTCTTTTTTTCTTCTTCTGTGGAACACAAATGGAGATGTTGCACAGAATCCTTTTTGCATAGAGTTAAAGTGAATGGTAATATTTATTTTTGTTCACCACAGGGATTTTTAAAACAACATGAGGCTGAGTAGAGTGTTGATGCTGTACCAGTAGTTCTCAAAGTGTTCTTTGTGCATTGTAATAGAGTGAGGTGAAAATCAAGATGACTGACAGCGGGGATCTTTGCCCTCACTTGGACTTTATTGGTGAAGTTACTAAGGAGGAACTGATTCAGAAGTCAAAGGTTAGAATTGCTTTTGCTAATATTTAAGTCTTAACTTTGTCCTCACTTGGACTCTATTGGTGAAGTTACTAAGGAGAAACTGATTCAGAAGTCAAAGGTTAGAATTGCTTTTGCTAATATTTAAGTCTTAACTTTGTCCTCACTTGGACTCTATTGGTGAAGTTACTAAGGAGAAACTGATTCAGAAGTCAAAGGTTAGAATTGCTTTTGCTAATATTTAAGTCTTAACTTTGTCCTCACTTGGACTCTATTGGTGAAGTTACTAAGGAGAAACTGATTCAGAAGTCAAAGGTTAGAATTGCTTTTGCTAATATTTAAGTCTTAAATGTGTTATGAGTGGTGCACAGTGAATTTGATCTCATTGTTTTTACTCAAGGGCACATGCCAGTCATGTGGAGTAGGTGGACCCAATCTCTGGGCATGTCTACAGGTGAGGAGCCTTTTCCCTAGCAAACATGTTAGATAAGTAGAATGCATTTGTAGGCCCTGAAATTGTTTTGCATTTGTTTGTCCTGCTTTCCCCACAGTGTGACTGTCCTTATGTAGGCTGCGGAGAATCACATTCTGATCACAGTACTATACATGCACAGGTGACATTCTTATTCATTCAATTATTCACTCCATTCTCTGGCATTCGTTCTGTTCAGTTATTATCCATATCATTTCTCTTGTTCTTTTGTACGTGTGCATCTTTTTTTCTTCTTTTTTTCAGGCCAAAAAACACAATCTGACAGTGAACTTGACCACATTCAGGGTGTGGTGTTATGCCTGTGAGAGGGAGGTGTTTCTGGAACCAAAGCCTGTTACTCCTGTATCATTAGCTCACCGCTGCAAACCACATGAACAGGTAAAGTCATCAGACTATTTGAAACATCTCACAGAAATGTGCACTTTTAGCTTGTTAGGATTGTGTAAACAAGATTAAGATGGTTCTTCCTGGTTGAGGTTGGCTGTGTCTCCTGCATTATTAATATCAATCTTAAGATGTAATTTAGACACAATAATTTATAAAGCACATGTATAATACAAGAAACATAATTCTCTTGTCTTTTCATCCCCAAAGGATCCTCTTCCCCAGACAGCATGTCACCCGTTAAAAGCAGTGCCTATCGCAGTGGCGGATGAGGAAGGCTCAGAATCTGAGGAGGATGAGCTCAGACCTAGAGGTATAATTATATCAACAGGTTAGCTAGTACACATTGCGTGGTATTTCAAATCCTCTAATAAAGGCTAAATGACAAGGACACCCACCTAGAAAATATTAAAGGGGTGGTTCATTGCGATTTCACTTTTTTTAATGTTAGTTTGTGTGTAATGTTGCTGTTTGAGCATAAAAAATATCTGCAAAGTTACGAAGCTGAAAGTTCAATGCAAATGGAGAATTCTGGCAGTTTAATGCCTACATAAACAGCTGGTAGGGACTACAACAAGTTACTTCCTGATTGCTGTACTGTATTAAAGCTTTAATCAGGATAAAACCGTATATTAAAAGCTAACATAAGCAGTAGCATTTACAGCAGCATATCTAAAAGTATGAGACAACAACAAACAAAAAACATAAGCCTACCACTAAATGCTTGCACAGGTCCTGCACGATCCTCTTCAATATCCTCTGTTTACAATACAACCGGAGCACATGCCGCTGAGGTGAGGGGCGAGACGTTTAGATGCGCACTAGAGGCGGTTTAGCCAATCACAACACACTGGGCTAGCTAACCAATCACAGCCCATCAGTTTCTCAGAGAAGGGACAGAGCTGTGTGGAATAAAGGTAAATTATGTGAAAAATAATGCGTTTTTTTTTTTTTTAAACGAAGCGTTAACACATGTTAGACTGCACCCCATAAACACAATCAAGCCTAGAAAAAACCCAGTGAACCACCCCTTTAAGATTGATAAGATTTTTTAATGATTTTGAAATAAGTCCCTTATGCTCACCAAACCTGCATTTATTTGACTGAAAAACAGATTTAAGAAAAACAGCAATATTTTGAAATATGACTACAATTAAAGACCTTTTTTTAAATTTACATATATTGAAAAATGCAATTTATTTCTGAAATGGCAAAGCTGAATTTTCTGATTTGGTGTTCAAAAACATTTGAAACTCAAGAAACTGATTTGCCTCTCATGAAACATTGCTTACGTTTATCAATGTTGAACATTTTTGTGGAAACTGTGATACTTGTTTCAGATTTTTTTGATGAATGTAAAGTTCTAAATAACAACATTTATGCATCCTTGCTGAGTAGAAGTATTGATTTCTTTAAAAAAAATTAAGTGACCCCAAATATTCACAGTAGTTGTCAGTCAGTATGGATTTTTCAAATGACCTTTTCCGTAACATATATATTTACTAACAGATGACTATTAAGTCCTGCTTATGCAACATTTTAAAGGAGCGGATTGAATAATGTCTATAATAACAAATAACCAGTCAATGACCTTTTCTGCTCTCTTAATATGAGAAGGCTTAATGGAAGTAAGCTGAATTAGATGAATTAAATTGGATCTCATTGTCAGTGGTTATGTGTAACACTTAAGATTCTGTTTCACCTGCCAAAGGTCTCACAGGGATGAAGAACATTGGGAACTCCTGTTACATGAATGCTGCACTGCAGGCCCTCTCCAACTGGTGAGCTCACAACTTGTGAAGCATGAATAAGCATAATTCAGACAACACAAATGGGAAGCTTGACTGATTTCACTGGTTTATTTTTCGGTTCCATGTATCCTGTTTCTTTCTATTTTTCTCTCCAGTCCTCCTTTGACTCAGTTTTTCCTGGATTGCAGTGGGCTGGTCCGTACGGATAAGAAGCCGGCGTTGTGTAAAAGCTATCAGAAGCTTATCTCTGAGCTCTGGCACAAGAAACGGTAACAAGTACTGACTTGTCAAACTGTTAACCTAGACCTGGCCAGTTCTAGCTAACTTAATCTTAATCTATTGAGCTTAGTCCTAATTATCTGAATCTTGTCGTTCTTTGTTGGTTTCTTTTTAACTCTGTCAAGGCCAAGTTATGTTGTGCCCACTAGTCTGTTTCATGGAATCAAACTGGTGAACCCCATGTTTCGTGGCTACGCTCAACAGGTATATAAAGCAGAGTAATTGAAGTATTATTTATATACTATTATAGTAATTATTTATATATTTTAAAATGACTTTTATTTTGACATTTATGTTTTATTAATTTGTTTAGGCGCTTTTGTCATTTTGAGTTTTTAAAATATTTGTTTTAATTAATTTTTTATTTCAGTTGTATTATTAATCATTTTAGCACTTCTACATAAATGTAAGATTTTATTCAGATCATTTGCCAATGTAACGTTTTTCATTTTTTAAGTGTTCATATATTGTCTAACATTTATATTTTATTTCAGCTTTTTCAATTGACCAAAACAATTGTAATATTTTAGTTTGTTAACAGTAACAACACCGGTATGGAGATTATTATGCAGATTGTAAAACTATCATATAAGCCCCATAGTATTTTTGTAAAGTAAACACTCCTTGCTTCTGTCATTTTTAGGACACTCAGGAGTTTTTGCGATGTCTGATGGACCAACTTCATGAGGAGCTGAAGGAGCCTTTGACCATCTGCAGCGGTGCAA